AAAGAACGGAAAAGGGAGAGAGCGAGAAGTAAGGGAATGGGGGAAGGGAGGGAGGAGGGCAGGGGGCAAGAGGGAAGGAGAGATGCATGACGAGAGGGATTAACAAGAGGGCTTAGCAAGAGGAGTTGGCAAGGAAGTCTTAGGCGAGAGCGCCATTCCTGAGCAAAGTGTGAGGACGTCCCGAGCGAGAGCGCTACTCCAGAGCGCCGGGACAGCGATTCATTCATGAATTGCCGGGAAGTCTCAGGCGAGAGCGAGTCGTTGTTGTTGCAGTTCGGAGGCAAGGAGCCCAATCTGAGGCTCAAGATTTCCCCTTGTAAAGAACACAGTGCGAGCCACTGGAGGGGCGCTTCAAATAAAAAGGCAAATTGATTACCAGAGAAGGGGGGCAAACAATCATCATTCTTGAGAAATGACACTTCCAACGAGAATCCTCACCGCGGAAAACCACCTCGTGTATGCAACCAGGGATTGTGTAAGACCGCTCGTTCACCTCACTCCGGCATTCCATTCCTCATGCTATAGCGTGACAGCCAGAATCCTTGAGGAGGGCGGGAAGGAGAAGCGGGAGGCTGACGAGGAGGCAGAAGAGGAGGGGGGAGGAGGAGATGGAGGGGGATGGCGGCGGCGGCGACGAAGAGGGGCGAGGAGCAGAAGGGGAGGAGGAGTACGCGGCAGCCGTCGCGCGGCCGCGCCCGCAAGGGAGAGGGCCCCGCGGGCCTCAGCCGCTCGGGGTAGTCGCCCCCGTCCACGAACCGCCGGACGAGGTTCCGCAGGAAGTCCTCGGGCGCGCGACCTCTCGCCGACCCCGAGGCCCACCCCTGGAGTGTGTATGTCTGCCAACGGCCGACGGCCACGACGAGAAGATGGCATGCCCTAAACTCACAGTGCTGCCATCGGCCTGACTCGCCCCTGAGCTCCTGGAGTGGCCTTGCGAATTCGCTCCCGCTGCCTGCTCTGTTCGTGCTGCCTTCCTCCGCGACGGTGCGGATCAGTGGGCCAGCGGTGAGGCCCCTGAGCTTGCCCAGTGAGGACTGTGGCCCACGTGCGCAGTGAGCGAAGAGCGAGGCAGTCAGGGGAGGACAAGGATGCCCCCCCCTCCCTGAGACTGGAAGGCCACGACTGCAAAGCGCCTCGGCGATGCCCCGCCGCTCAGAAAATCACCAGCTGCGCACCCGACCGGCTCTCTCGACGTTGGCTTTGACACGCCAGACAGAAGATGCCCCTTTTCGCGGGCAGCTCATCCCTGTGAGAACAACGGCAGCTCCTGTCAAAGATGAACACAAGTGGTGATTGGAAATCCGCCGACCCTGTCGGCGTGTGCGAGGGGCGTGGCTGTTCGAGTCGTCGTCTCCGTCGGTCGTCGCCTCCGTCGTCCCCTTTCCCTGCAGCTTCCTTCTCAAGCTCGTGAGCCAGAGAAAAATCGAGCAGTGTCGCAATCGAGTCGAAGGGAAGCCCCTTCCCTTTGATCCCTTCCCCAGGGGGGGAGGGGGTCCCGGGGGGGTCCCGGGGGGGGTCCCGGGGGGGGGGTCCCGGGGGGGGTGGGGGGGCAGATTCGTTTTTCCTCGGGCGGCCTAGAAACCTCGAAAACACTCCAAATGAGGTCCGAATGCCCAAGATGGCCCCCGAGACGGCCCAAGAGGGCCCCGAGTCGCCCAAAGATCGGCCGAAAACGCCCAAGATAGCCCCAAGACCGTCCAAGAAGCCTCCAAGACGTCCCAGGCCCCCTCCAAGAGACCCCCAGGAAGCCCCAAGAGGCCCCCACGAGGCTTCCAAGCGGCCCCTAAGAGCTTCCCAGGAGGCCCACAAACTACCCCCAAGAGGCCCCCAAGAGCGCTCGTCGTCGTCGTCGTCGTCGTCGTCGTCGTCGTCGCCATTCAGGGTCGGCGGCACCGGCCGTAAGGCCTTCGCGATACGGTAGTCGACTGGCCGTCCTCGCTGCAGAATCTTGTCGCATCGAGCTTTCTCAATGCATCCGTGTAGAATTGGACGACTTCCTGGTATGTGCCAGGATATTTCTTCCAGCCTCAGAGGCTTTTCAGCATGAGATATCCCATGTGCAGACATCCAGGGTCTGGGGTATGACTAGGCTCGCGCCCACCAACGACGGAGAGAGCGTGCCACCGCCTCCTCCACCTCCTCCATATCCTCCCTCTACTGCCTCCTTATCAATGTCCCACAGTGCTCATACGTTGCTTGACTCTTGGAAGCGCTGCGCAAGGTGTAGGGCGGCTACCTCATACGGCACGGTTGCACTCGTCTGTTTCGAGACCATGTCTTGGGACCCGCACGTCTTCCATACTCCACCTGCGCAATCCTGGTATACTTGTTGAGGGGGGCTCGACCATAAGGTGGCATAACAGTGCGGCCCAGGATAGTGGTGTTGCACCAGCTGCGACTATGTCAATTAGTGAGCTTGCCACGAGGAAACTGACAGCGCCTGGCACGAATTCCACCAGCCCTCTGGGTGTGAGCGGTTTAGAGGGTTGCCTCCTCATCCTTCCTCTTTCCCTTCGGGGAGGGGTTTGTTTCTGCATCCATACAACAACACCTCCTCCCCCACACGACCGGCAGCCAACCCAGACCAACGCCAAACCCCACCACACCATCCCTGTCAAAAACGGGGGAACCCGCATATCGCCTGCAGTGTGCAACGCCACCACCCCCCAACCATCCCTTACAAAAAACACAACGCACGTTGCGGCAAAATCTGGATCATGCGCGGGCACCCAACGATCACGTTGCACGGATTTTTGGGACACGGACGAAGGGGGTGCCAGCATATCGCCTGCTGCGTGCAAGCCCATCACCCTTCCCCAAAACAGTGCTAAATGTAAGTGCCAGCAGCGATCATGCGCGGGAGCACTTTGCACTGTTATCCGACAGGGAGGATGGGGGAACCCTGGCTCGCGCGGCGCACCTCGCAAGCGTCGCGCCCCTGGCTGGCGTGTGCACTCGTTCCCGACCGTAGTCGATGGCGGCCCCTGCCCATGCTGAGACCCGAGTGCAACGTACTGGTGTGGTGGGAGGGCGGGTGGGCGTGAGCGAGCTGGCCGTCCTTCGGGGGAGGGAAGCTTCACCGCAGCTCCCTGTGAATAAACAAAACCACGCCCCCACCCGACCGGCAGCCCACCTGGACCCATGCCAGCACCCCCCCCAACCCATCCCTGCCAACACAATACAGAAGACACGTTGCCCCCAACTCTGGACCAGGCGCGGACGCCCCGCGACCACTCCGAGATGTTTTTTGTGACAGGGCTGGCGGAGATGTCGGCACATTGCTCGCTGCGCGCGGCCCGACCATCCCTGTCAACAAGGATACAGCATACACTCTGCGACGACACCCGGATCGTGCGCGGCCGTCCCGCGACCACTCTGCGTGGGCTTTTGAAAAAGACGGCTGGGGTGCTGGCACAGTGCTTGCTGCGCGCAGGCCAGCCATGCCCGTCAATAAGCAAAACGAGATGCACTGTGCGGCATCTGGACCATGGGCGGGCCCTCCCGCGATCACTTCGGTTGCTGACGACATCCTCTTTCCTCCAGGGGGCGCTCTTTTCTTTGAGCCTTTATGTGCCCACGGTTCCTCACGATATCACATGTTGTCTACCAGTGCCAATCCTTTGCGCTCCCTGGAGGAGCCACCCTTCTCACATAAGAGCTCGGCACTTCGCTTCAGAGGGATCCAAGAACATTAACTCCTTGGGGTCGGGGCCCTAGACACCTGGGGTCTGCATTGGTCCCCCGGAGCTGTCCATCCGATGAAGGCAGTTCAGTGGCCCACCTCGCACATTTTGCGCGCGCCGCGCGGGTGGCGCACATGGCGCGGCTGCACGTGGCACACTTGGCGCACGTGGAAGGCGTGGCGCACCTGCTCGCGGCTGGCACGCTTGGGCTTCCAGGGTGCCTGGTGCACCTGGAACCCGTTGCGCGCATGGCATGCGTGGCGCTCCTAGGCGACATGTTGAGACTCGGGTGTTACTTGTATGTTCAGCTCGTGCGTGAAAGTTGCGGTGCTGCTTCGGCGCGGCGCATGATTCGTCTTCGCCGCGCTCATCGGACATTTGGCCACGGTAAGGGTTAAGTTGCGCTCCCGCGCAGTACCTGACTCCCCCTCCCCATTCTCCCTCCTGCATCCGCGGTCCTGCTGTTTCCCTCCGCCCCCCCATCCCATCGCCCCCCCTTCACTCCCTTCCCCCTCCCTCTCGATCCCCCCCGCTCCCTTCCTCCCCCCAACCCCCTCCTTGAGAGGGGATGGTAGGGGGGACCTGCTCAGTGGGGGAAACATCGACCTGGAATTGGCGATACATCGCCGATAGACGGGCGACAGGTCCCCATAGCGTTTCCGCGTGCTCCTGGGCGGGGCGGGCTACTATCGGGCCCTATCGGCGCTCAGTGGACGATTGGGGGTCGATGCATCGCCCCGTGAGCCGATCCCCCCGTAGAAGGCAACTCCTGAGAGGTCATCGCAAGAAGAATCAAAAGCCATCGTGCCAGATTGAAAAGCCATTCCGCCAGATCAGCCCCGATATCCCGCCCAGGACAGAGCCCGATGACAGCGGATCGAGCGGCACCGAACGGAAGAACAACAAAAAAAAGGAAAGGACTGTGCCGAAACGGGCCCGTGCTCCACCACGACCACGGGGAATGTGAGCGCCGAGGTGCTGAGCTCGACCTGCCAGGGGCTGCCTAACGTGGCCCCCCGGTCCTCCGCGCCCCCTCCGCGGCAGCAGCGGCCTCGGAGGTCCGCCAGGCGGGGGGGGGGGGCGGGGCCCCCGGCGGCCCCCGCGTCCTGCCCGCCCCGCGCGAAGGAGAACGCCGCCTCGGCCTCGGGGCTCCGCAGGCCGTCCTGCGCCGCGGGGCGGCCAGGCGGGGAGAGGGGGCGGAGGTGAGCAAGCCCGCTGCCTCCCCGTTCTGCCGTGTCCTTCGCCCCCCTCGGAGGGTCGAGGCGCGCCTCCAGCGGCCAGGGCTCGCCGAGGGCCTCCAGGACGGCGGCACTCCTGCACTCCTGCGCCGGTCGGGCTTCTGTGGGAGGCGTTCAGGCTCCGGAGCCAAGTCGACCGAGTGGCAAGGGATACGAGCCCGCAGGAGGGGGGGGGGGCGAGGGGGGCGCGCTCGCTCAACGACGGGAAGGGTCGGTACCGTTCTGGGATGTGCACGCGGGCTGTTCCCGTGCAAGGCCAAAGGCTATGGCCAGCGCCGAGAGAGGACAAGAGAGCGGCGGCCAGGGCATAGCCCAGCAAGTCGAAGCGAGCTGGGCGGGCCTGAGCCGCCGCCCGAGCCGCCAGAACCTCTGGGGCAGGCTCCGCGAAGCAAGAGGTGCGAGGGAGCAGGTGGGGGGGAGGGGTATGAGAAAATGGTTGCACGTAGTTTAATCCGGCGGCGGCGGCGGAGGTGCGCTTGCCACTCCCGTGCGGCCGTCTTCGCTGGCCGAGGGAGTCCGCGGCCCCCTCCTGCGCCTGTTGGCAGCATGGGCTGAGTGCTGTGTTGGGGCAGTGGTGGGAGAGAGCGCCCCCCCTCCCCCGCAGAGCCCGAATGAGGAAGCTGCGAAGGGTGTGAGGCCTATGATGGTCCTTACTGGTGAGGCCTATGATGATCTTCACCTGGGGGAGGGAGGAGGAGGACCCTTCGTGGGCTACTCGTGCTCCGCGCACGGGGGCATCCAGCGCGGCGGGTGCACCTCTGGTACACCAGGCCTTTCCCGGCCCAGACCCCAGGCGACCACACAGCTGCGCCACGTACCAGACCTGCTTTTGAGGCAGTTTGGGTCGAGGGGGTGTACTCCTCCTCCTCCTCCTCCTCATCCTTTGTCCCGCTCGTCGTCGTCGTTGTCCCCCTCCTCTCATCTGGAGGGGGGCACCAAAAGGCACCGATACTGGTACTCGCCGGTCCTCTCCTGGGGTGTGTTCTGAACAAGGTTTCGAGGCGAATCGAGCCGTGGTGACAAGAGAAGGGTAGCGGTACAGTATCGGAATCAGTTGACATCCGCCAATCTGATTTGTTCAAGCTGCGGTCCTAGAGGAGTATATTTCGTCCCCAGGAATATATTTTCGTCCCCGATCACAGTTTGTTGGTCTCGCCCTCGCCCTCGGCATCCCCGGTACATGTTTTGTTTTCCATCCCCAGTAGCATCTTCCCCCTCTGGAGCCCTTATAGGGCGATGCAGTAATGTCATGATCAAACTGGCTCAGGATGCCTTCCAGGGCTTCCAGAGATCCAGCGGCGCAGCCAGTGCGGAACATCAGGGAATACTGGGTACCCTTGACGCCTGGAAACCCTGGAATTCCTCCTCTGAAATCTCTGCCCTCGCCCTCGGGGTCGCCCTCCGTCCGCCCCTGCTCACGGTCCATGGCAGACTGCCACGAGCCCGCCGCCTGGGCGAGGACGAGCTGGTCGGCGTCCTGCCGGCGCGCCGGGCCACCCGCGCGCGCGAGATCTCTCCGCGCGCGCGCGCCTCGGGGGTCCCAAGACAATGTGGCGACAGCCCTGGCGGCGACCTCGAAACCCGCAAGGACCTCCCCACAGGGTCCGTCACCGCACGGCTCTGGCATCTAGGAGGCCCGCATCGCCCGAGACATCCTCGGAGAACGACAAAAGCCCCGAAACTGTGCGGTGACCCCGAATCCCCACCGACTCACCACACGGTATGGTCACCACACCGTTTGGGGGCCTCCGAGCCCCCCCGAAGGCGACCGCGAGCAGACGCAGCCCGTGCCGGGAACGATCACAGGAGGTCGATCAGTTGGACTCGGTATTGCAGCAGTCTGCGCGCCGATATGCTGAAGGCTCTCGCCCCGAAAGCCTGTTCGACGACAGTGCACAAAAAACAATTACCCTGGCGACGTACCCAACCCCTGCGCAAAAGCGGGGCGCAAATAGTTTAGGATACTTTATAAGGGGGCGATGACTGAGCGAGGGTTACATATGTCTGCAGACGGAATTCGGGAGACTCGCAGGACACTGGCTACAGGAAAAGGGCTTGATAAAGCTGATGATTTACAATTCCTGAGCACTCCTAGCCACTTCGAAAACGGGGATCACAGCAGGCCTCGAAAGTGGCGACAGGTTCACAGATCGCAGCCCCGCAGGGACGGCGAGGTCTCATTTGAATCTGCCCGTGGCCCTCACTGTGCTGGGCCCCCCAGCAGGCCTCGAAAATGGCGGCAGTTTCGCAGATCGCAGCCCCCCAGGGATGGCGAGGTCTAATTTGAATCCGCGCGTGGCCCTCACTGTGCTGGGCCCCCCAGCAGGCCTCGAAAGTGGCGACAGTTTCACAGATCGCAGCCCCCCAGGGAGGGCGAGGTCTAATTTGGATCTGCCGCGATTGCCCTCTATGCTGGACCCCCCAGCAGGCCTCGAAAGTGGCGACAGTTTCACAGATCGCAGCCCCCCCCCCCAGGGATGGCGAGGTCTAATTTGAATCTGCCGCGATTACCCTCTATGCTGAGCCCCCCAGCAGGCCTCGAAAGTGGCGACAGTTTCACAGATCGCAGCCCCCCAGGAATGGCGAGGTCTAATTTGGATCTGCCGCGATTACCCTCTATGCTGGACCCCCCCCCAGCAGGCCTCGAAACTGGCGACAGTTTCACAGCCCCCCGCAGGCAAGACAGAAAGAGGCAGGAAAGAGGCGGGAGGCGGGAGGAGGAAGGACGCGACCACACTGCTCTATTCAAAACGAATACCCAACCAAGGAGGGTTGGGAAAAATGCTCGACGGACAGTTCCGACCGCAGGAGGGACGAGGGAAGAGACTCGAGGAGCAGGTGGAGGGGGCGTCTTTTGAAACGCGTTGGCAAGCACGAAGCGCTGAGCTAGAGAAGGGGGAGAGAAAGGGGGAGCAAAACAACATCTAGAGAGAGAGAGAGAGAAACAAAAAAACCGAGAGAGAGAGAGAGAGAGAGAGAGAGAGAGAAACAAAACAAACAAGAACGAGACAAACGCACGCCAAGGCCCCGATCCCGCGTGCCCGAGTCTCGGAGGGGTGCGAGCACCTCCGAGCCCCGCCGCCCCCCCCTGCGCCAGGGCGGGGGCGAGGGAGACCTCCCCCGCAGGGACACAGGGACGGCGCGGGGTCGGGGCTGGGCCCTCCAGAGCCCGCGGGGGGCGGGGGAGAGAGGGGAAGGGGGTGGAGGAGGAGAGGGCGGGGACGGAGGGAGGGAGGGAGGGGCAGGAGGACGAGGACGAGGACGATGCTGCGATACGGCCTCCTGGGAGGAGGGAGGATGGTGGAGGAGGAGGCGGGGACGGATGATACGTTCCAGGACTTCCAGGGAGCATCTAGCGGCGCAGCCGGTGCGGAACACACTGGGAAGTATGGGACATCCTGGAAGCCTTGGAAATCCTGGAACGGATCATTACATGACCTATTGCTCCTCCCCCCTCACGTACTCCGACCCCATCTCTACTCCGACCCCAGCTGGGGGGCCTGGAGATGAGCACCTTCGCGGCCAAGGCCGCGACGCGCGAAGCGCCATCATATTCGCGCCCCCGCGGGTGACCTAGTTTTTCCTCCACGCCCCCCCATCTCTTAGCGGGCGAAGAGCGGTGCAAAATGAACTTTTACGTCACCGGGGGCGCCTGCCCCAGGGAAGCTGGAGAGTTTCCACCCCGACGTGCCACCGCAGGGGTATAAGGTATACACTTTCCAGCCGCCCTGGGACAGGTGTTCCCCACGGCGTAAAAGTTTATGTCGTACCGTTCCTTTCCCGCCGAATCTCTCCCCCCAGCGCCCCCCCCCTCACGCCTGCAGCCGCTGCAGAGACTCCGCCAGGGCGTCGCGGACCTCCCGGGCCCGGCGGCGCCACCAGGCGCGGGGTGCCGCCTCCTCGAGCTCCTCCTCGTCGGGCTGCTCGCTCTCCTACCCCCGTCCTCCTCCGTCCTCCTCCCTCCTCCCTCCTACTCCCCCTTGCTGCTCTTGCTCGTCTCGTCTTCATCCCCCTGCTTCTCCTCCCTCCTCCTCCTCCTCCTCCTCCTCCTCCTCCTCCTCCTCCTCCTCCTCCTCCTTGACCCTCCTGCCGGGTCGCGTTCGGGCCAGGATGCCGCGACGAGTCCAGCAGTGACGACTGCGGCCGCGGCCTTCCAGGGAGGGGCAGCGGCATCGGTCGAAGAGAGGGGACTCCCCAACGGTCTTGCCTCGGCCCTTCGGGCGCGCGAGTCCACTGTGGGGCCGCTGTAAGAGGGTTCGTAAGGGGGAGTTGGTAGATGTTGGTAAAGGGAGTTAGCAAGACGCGCTGCTGCTGCGGGGATCTGCGTCTTGTTTTCTCAAAGGATTTATCATCGCGACGGGCGACCCAGCTCGGCGCTCCCCGGGGAGGCTGGGGCGGACAGGCTGTCGGCATCGAAGAGGGACATCGGATCGGACCGGAACGCGCACCGAATCGGGCCGCACCGACACGGAGCAGGATCGGATCGGCCGCGCCGTGGTGCACGACGGCCAACACCGACCCCCACCGTCATGACTTGTTCATGACGTCGATCCCTACAGGTCCCCGAGGCCCGCTGGAAGGGCCCCCAGAGGATGAAAATACATCAAAACCTTGCGCCGTATTTGTTTGATTACCCGAGGGGGTCATGGGCTGGGACAGGGGCCGCGCGAACATCGTGCCGCGCCGCACTACCAACCAAGCCGCCCCAACCCAACCCGAAGTCGCCGAGGGGCCTGTCGCCGGGAACACTGAGAAAACAAAACGTAACCGTACACCCCCCGACCCGAAGTCTGAGTGGGGGATGTAAGACCTTCGGGTTGGATTGGGGTGGTTTCGGGGATCTACTGACCCCGGTCAATGCAAGCCCAAGTCAGTCAGACCTTGCAGGATCCTGCAAGATCCTGCAGGATCCTGCACGCTACCTGACCTCGGTCAGTGCAGCTCTGGCCCTGCAGGATCCTGCAAGACCCGGCGCTCTGACTGACCCCCGTTTGCATTGACCCCCGTCCCAAGGCTCCCAATGTTTCCGTGAATAGCGAGCACCCGGGGACCTACAACCCCGTGCGAAAAGCAACTGGGGTTTTCGTACACACCTCCCCCCCCCCCCACCCCCCAATTTCAATGTTCAACGCAGGGTCGATTTTTTTTTCGAACTTCGCTGGTCGCACGATGAACATTGAAATTCGGGGGCCGGGGGGCTCACCAAACCCCAGTTGCTTTTCGCACGGGGTTGTAGCCGGGAGATCCGTAGGCCCGAGAGGTGGGTGCCCGGCGCGGGCACGCAGCCGCCGCGACCGCCGCGCGGCACCCGGGCGGCGGGGGCGGCTCCCGACCTCGCCCGCGGGCAGATCCGCGATGACGCCCTCGGCGTCCTCGAAGAGCAGCAGGTGGCCACCTCGCAGGGCGAGCGCATCCCTCCCTCCCCTCAGACCCACCCTCACCCCTCCCCTCCCACCCACTCTCTCTCTCTCTCTCTCTCTCCTCCCCTCCGTGCTTCCTCCCTTCTACCCTGCTCCTCCACTGAGTCCTCCTCCCCCTTCCTGCCGCTTCACCTCCTCCATCCCTTCCTCACTCTTCATCCTCCTCCTCCTCCTCCTCCTCCTCCTCCTCCTCCTCCTCCTCCTCCTCCTGCCCAGATGTCCGCCGAAATGATCGGTTCCATCCGCGGCCAATAGGGGTGCCTGGGAAGACGGTTCTCCGTTCAGGACCCGTTCCTGATGGCCCTGGGGCCACATGAGCGGGCCCCACGGCCCGAAATCCCCCCTTGCCTGCGGAGCCATCGGACACCGGCATGCCCCATGCGGAATCTGCGTCGGACAAACATTCGGCCATACGCCAGAGCGGCCCTGGGGTTAAGAGTGACCTCTGGGGCGCGACTTTGGGGGGGCCGCGGGGGGGGACCACACCTGGGCGCGCAAGCAGCTGCCACTGCTTCGTTTTCGGCCATCTGGGGGCCCATGTGCCCGCACCAAAGGTCACTCCGGCGAAAGGTCACTCTTATACGTCTGGTCCACACATGTCGTCGGCACCGGCGTGCCCCTGCCTGCCGCCCCCCCTGCCCCCCCCCCCCTCCTCCGGCCAGGGGCCGGCCCTCCCCCCCCCGTTGAAGCGTGCTCGGAGCCGCGGCAACCCGCGGCGCGGCACTGAGGTTGGTGCCCTCCGCGGCCTTGAGCAGCGGCGTCCAGAAGGCCTCCGCCTCGCGCGCGGCTGCGACGGAGAGCGGGGAGGAGGAGGAGGAGGAGGAGGAGGAGGAGGAGGAGGAGGAGGAGGAGGAGGAGGAGGAGGAGGAGGAGGAGGAGGAGGAGGAGGAGGAGGAGAAGCGGCGCGGCGACAGACCGTGCGGCGACCTCGGCATTCCCGAGAAGGCCTCGCCACGCGGCCCGCCACCGGACGGCTGTGGCACCTCGGAGGCCCCAGGAGCTCGAGACGTCCTCGGAGAGCGGCCCCGATCCATAAAAAACCGCGCGGCCACCCCGAAGTCCCACTGCCTCACCACACGATGTGTTCACCGCACCGTCTTGGGGGGCCCCCCGAGGAGAAAAGTGGGCACGAGGACGCGCCGCCTCTGGGGCGTCGAGGCGTGCAGCCGAATCGAGAGCAACTGGTAGAAGCATGAGTTGGGAGGCCGCTCTTCGCAAGAACGATGCAGCGCTAATGAGCTCGATTCGGGGGCCGCTGCGCCAGATCAGGCCAGATAGCGCCCAGGATGAACCCAGATTAAGCGGGAGACCACACCAGGCTCAACGAGACCAGGCGGGGTTGGGCCCCAGTCGCCAGCCAGGGGTACACCAGCGCCGATGCTGAATTTGATCTCCCAGAGTTGCATCCGAAACTCGGTGGGAGCATGTCGTGCCGAACAACTGGAGGCACACGTGGCTCGATTCACGTGTGAAAAAGCACGAGGCCACATGCGGCGGCCCAGCGTGCCTGGGCCAGGCGCTGCAAAACACCTGGCCGCAGGCGTAACTCCAGCTCGCATCGCGTGCATCCAGCTTTCTGGCAGGACTCCCCCCACCCTTCATGGGTCCCGCTCTTCGGCGTGATTGGCGAAGGCGTCGAAACATGACCTCAGAGCGCGCCAGTACACGTGCATCGACCCCATTGTGCAGAGCACCGCGTGCCAGGCACGATGCTGCCTGCGCGGAAGGGTTGCCACTGGTCCCTTTCACGGCTCATTTTGTATGCTGAGGAGCCCGAAGTGTATGGATAGGCGGCTCAAGCAAATCGGATTTCGGTCCCGCCCAAGCAATCCGCCACGGTGCGGCGAGGCACTGAGTGGAGAGTACCATCGGGTCTACTCGAGCTCCCTGCAAGTATGGAGTACTGTTGGAGCGAGGGGGCCCGAACGGTCTTACTTTCTCCGCGCGCGCGGCTGCACAGGAGGTCGGCCTCTGGAGGTGACGTTTTTGGGGCGACGTTTTTGGACGACGCTTGGGGGCGACGTATGGGGGCGTCTGGGGGACGACGGACCGCCCCCGCACCTCTTATCCTGAGGCAAGGCAGGACGAGGATAAAGTCGGGTGAGGCTGCAGCGGGAATCTCTGAGCTCCGGCGCTTCTGGAAGATGCCTCGGGCCTCCGCGGCCTTCCCGGAGCGCTGCGGAACGCTCTGGGAGCGTTCCAGAACCCTCTGGAACAGATTTATCCTCCCCGTCCGAAGGAAGGCGGTGGTGGACCCGTCCGCCAGGACTGCCGCCGGGCCCCCACGGCCCAGCCGCTCCAGAGAGTGGTGGCAGAACGACGTGGCTGGGCAGCCGGCGGGGTCGCGCGGGAGCGCGCGCGCGGCCCGCGCGCACGAGGGCACCTCGGAGAAAGCCCGAGGGGCAATGCCCGCCCGACCTCCTCCTCCTCCTCCTCCTCCTCCTCCTCCTCCTCCTTCTCCTCCTCCTCCTCCTCCTCCTCCTCCTCCTCCTCCTCCTCCTCGTCCTCCTCCTCGTCCTCCTCCTCCTCCTCCTCCTCCTGGGCCTGCGCGCCCGACGCTCTGGAGCGGGCGTGTCCTCGTCCTGGCCCCCGCCCGATCTCCGCAGGTGCGGGGGGTGCTCTGCGGGCGCTCCCCGATGGAGGGGCCCCGGACCCCCCGAGGCCCGCGGAAGTCCCCGGGCGCTCCCGGGGCGCTTCGCGGGGCCTGCCGCGGGCGGCTCTTCTGGAGGCCTCGGGGCGTGGTCGGGGCTCCACGCGTCCAGCATGGTTTGAGATGGTGCCCTCTTTCGAGCAGGGTATCGACTACAACGTTGATTCACCCCAGGCTCAATGTTCACGTCGAATCTCCAACACAAACACGTAGAATGTCCGTAGATCTACGAAGGTTCTACACAGTTGCCGCGGACTCGACGAGGAAAACAGATTCTGGGGTGAGTCAAATATGTAGTCGATCCCCTACTAGACTCTTGGGCGCCTCTTGGGCCGTCTTGGAGGCTCCGGAAGCCGCCCGAAGAAAACCAAATCAATATATCACCGTAAGCATCTCAGTTACAGGCTTCGGAAAATAGCGAACACTCATGCCACATTCATCTGTCAAAGCCTCCCCCTCCCCCAAATGTTCAAAGTTGGCGGTGGGTCTGATGAGTTGCACCTCGACCGCAGTCTCCCCCGCGCGTGCCAACTTTGAGTTTTGAGGGGGAGGGGAAGTGTTCAGGAATTGTTTCCCCCTACCGTATCATAGAGTTCTCGCCTTTTCCATTTGAGGTGCGCACAACCAAGATGTCTCCAAAATCGCCCCAAGACGGCTTCCAAGCTCCCGAGAGGGGCCGCCTAAGCTAAGGGGAAACACGAACTCACATTTCGAGCCCTCGGCGCCAAGATGGACTCCGCAACCACCAGGAGGCCCCCAAGAGACCCCCAAGAGGCCCCCGAGAGGTCCCCCAGGAGACCCCTACCAGGCCAAGAGGCCCCAAACAGGCTTCCAAGAGGCCTCCCTAGAGACCACAAGAGGCAGTTAAGAGGCATTTGGTCCACACCTCATGTACGGTAGAGGTTAGCGCCGAAGGCCACTAAATACCCCACCCCTGTCTATCCAAGCGTTGCTTGCCATGACATGCCATTCCGAGCGGTTCCCACTGGCATGCGGAAACCAACGGTTTTTGCGGCGGCTCACCGTGTCGCCAAAGTGTCCCGCGATGCGGGTCGGTCGGCCGACGGCGCCAGGAAACCCAGCCTCGCAAAATAATGCACGTGTAAACGGAATCACAAGATGACCTCCAGGGCGCCCCAAGGAAGACCAAAATGGATCCAACATGCCTCCGAGAGGACCCGCAACGCAGGCGCGGTGGCGGGCTGGTCCGAAGGCCACGATGGGCGGCTACAGCAGAGGCGACCGATCCCAGGCATCCGCCGATCTGATCTGTTCAATCCGCGGCCCCAGAAGCCCCGACCGCCTCTCCTGAAGCAGCGTTCGTTCCGCATCCATGCTTGCACGCGGGCCCGCAGACGGCTCCCGAGGGCCCAGATCAGAGAGAAGAGATGCCGGCTGCGGAAACCCTGTCGTCGGAGACCTGGGATATGTGTAAGGCAAGAAGACGCCTGAGGCAGATGCGGACCCGGGCTGTCCAACAGCACCTGCCCTCGACGAGCGAGGCACGTGCAGGTCTCGTCGGCACGCTGGCGGGGGCGCCCCTCCGACCCAGAAGTGCGCCCCCTGGCTCGTCGGCCCAGCGCGCCAGCCACAAGGAAAGGCTTGCCCAGAGGTGGCTGAAAATATATACGTCCTGCTCTAGATGGCTCCAGGATGGCCCCAGATGGCCTCCAAGACGGTCAAGATGGCCCTCAGGTTCGCCCAGGATGGTCCAAGATGAGCTCCAAGACGGCCAAAAAGAGTCTAAGATTGGGCGCCCGAGTTATCCGGGGTAACTCGGACCCGGGGTAACTCGGGTTTGGGTTCCCGAAAAAGCGAACCCGAGTTATCCCTGACCCGAGTTACCCCTGATGATTCGGGGCTCTGGACGCCCGAGTTATCCGGGGTAACTCGGGTCCGAGGTAACTCGGGTTCGGATTCCCGAAAAAACGAACCCGAGTTATCCCTGACCCGAGTTACCCCTGATGATTCGGGGCTCTGATAAGATGCCTCCCAGTTCGCCCAAGAAGACTCCAAAACGGCCCAAGAAGGCCCAAGATGCCCCAAGAGGGCCTCCAGGAAGGCCCGCAGAGGCCAACATCATTGATTGTCCCTAGGTTGCTTACAAGATTTCAGCATTTGCTTCTTTTCGGCATTCCAACGGCCCAGGACGGCCCAAGAGCCCCCAAAGATCGTCCCAAGATCGCCCCAGAGGCCTCCAAGATGGCCCCAGAGCGGCCCAAGAAGCCCCGAAGATGGCCCCAAGAGGGCCCCAAGACTGCTCAAGAGGTAAAATGCCTCCGAGACGCCCAAGATAGCTCCAAGCCGATTGCAGCATCAGGGATGCACCCTAAGAAACTGAGGGCATCTCTGACATCGGCAGCGAGCAGGTAATGCGGGATGACGATTAACAAAAGACATGGGAGAGAACGATTAAACACATAGTTCCCTGCTATTTCTGCACAATTCTCTGAAAGGAGGAGAACGATGAAAAAAGTAGTTTTCCAGGCCGCGGCCGGTTGTTTCTAATCGTCATCCCGGGCTCCGCCGCGTGAACACGACCCCCGGTCATTTATTAATCGCCATCCTCCATTCACCTTCTCCGCCAACCCACACCCCCCGACCAGCCCTTCGATTCCAGGGCAACCTCCCCTGAGCCCGAACCAAGCAAACTACCATCTCTTGGGCGGGCGCTTTTCACTTCCGCCGGGCTTCCGCCGGCCTCCGCCAGCGGAGCCGCCCCCGTTTTCGAGCAAGGACCGACCGTCCTGGCATTCCTGTAGGCCTGCTGGGCCATGCTCTCAGACCAAACCCATGCTCTCCTGGCCAGAGCAATGTTCTCATAACGTGAAGCCGATGCATTCAGTCAAGGTGGCCTCAGCCAGAAAGGTTCTAACATCATTTCGTGCAAACCACACAGAAGGCTCTTGGAACAGTCTCTGGTGGGCCTATAGCCAAGCGGGGACGCCTCGTCACTGCGTGAGTCTCGCTACCGCTGGCCTTCCGTCGGGGAAGAGACGTCAACCTCTCCATCCCTCAGTGGCGAGGCCCTTTTCAGGGTGTGGGGCCTCGACGCTCTTGGTGGCCAGCGGCACGACGGCGTGCACAACACGGCAGCTCTCCTCTGAGCCCCGACGCCGGGACCCTGCCGGGTTGGCGGCGGGCTGGGCACCAGGCACCGGCTCGAAGCAGCAGGCCCCCTTGGAAAGCAGGCCCCCTTGGAAAGCAAGTGCTGCGTCGCACGATTGCTTCGACATGCCCCAGGATGCTCGAGAGCACTCTCTGACCTCCGATGGCCGCTTCCTGCGCGGCTCTCGCATGCTTCCCATGCCAGAGCCGCTGCGTCGTGTGCGGCATGGCTTGCGCGCGAACGTGCTCGCCACTTCTGGGTCGGGGGCGGAAAAGAGGGGGGTGTCCAAGAGGGGGGGGTGCAAATCATGACCGGCGGCATGTGCGCGGCCCAGCGGGGGGGCCAGGGACGTACTGAAATAAGAAGAGGCTCCATGAAATCTGGGGAAGTATCATGGCCCCCGCCATGCTATCCACCCCCTCCCTAGTCATCACCCCCCTCTTTTCCGCCCCCAGGGGCTGGGGCCCACTGTGCATCCTCGAGCTTCAACGCGGGGGGGCAGCGCCGGTCCAAGAAGATCGGCGCGGGCCCCCGAACGCTTCCATTCTTCCTCGAGCGCCGTGGGGAGCCGGGAGGAGGGGCGGGCCTTGATCGTGCGGGCGCGGCGAGCGTCCGCAGAGGGCGACACCAGGTCCGAGATGACCTCGCCGCCCTCGGCCAGGGGCGCGGCGAACGCGGCGAGGACCTCTCCGCTTCGCGGGGGGCAGGGCTGGAGGGCCGGCGAGGTCGCGAGGCCGCCCATCGGCAAGAATCACATGTGGACCCTGCTCCTGCAGGTCAGATTGCTGAAAGACGGGCACAGGGTTCAGAGTTCGAAGGATGTCTGCAGCCAGGTATTAGGGCCCAGCGGGGGTGCTTCCGACACCCCAGCGACGAGTGGACCCGTAGGGTTAGGGCTCGCTTGTGGTCGCAGAGGGCCCCCAGAAAGCGGGTGCCCCTGCCGAGTCGGTGTCCGAGCTCTCCGCGGCGACCTGTTTTTGCGCAGGCCCGGTATCGTTCATCGATGTCGGCCTCTGGGGCCCGTTTGAGGGGGAACGCTACGGGAAAACCAGCTCCGAGGGGGAAACATCGAGCATCCAGCTCGGATCGGCGATCCAACGTCGATGGATAGGCGATGGGCCCCCGATGGCGAGCCCGCACCCTCCTGGGCGGGGGGGGATGTCGGGCCCCTGTCGGCGACGAGTGGGCGGTTGGGAGCCGAGGCGTCCCTCCCTGAGCCCATGCCCCCCCCCCCCTAACGTTAGGTCGGGCATGTCCTCCTACAGGCGAATTCTGGCACGACGAACGAAAGATCTTCCCAACAGGCATCTAAAAAGTTCAGACAATGGTGAGGAAATCGTCCCCAGACTATTGTGAAACCATTCTGGAATACTTCTTCCTAACACGCCCGCCGGAACCCTGACGTTCTCCAACTACGGCAGGTTCGTGTCGTGCCGACCCCAGCGTTGGGTTTTGACACCGCAGGGATCGTTCAACCTTGAACGATCGGCCGTCTCCGAAACGTTGGATCGTTCAACATCGATCGATTCTGGGTCGCCGGCGGCGTTCCACCTTGAACGCCCGCGCTGGGGTCGCCGCTGGTCGACACGACGCAAACCTACAGGCATCTAGAAAGTTCAGAAAATGGTGAGAAAATCGTCCCCAGACTATTGTGAAACCATTCTGGAATACTTCTTCCTAACACGCCCGCCGGAACCCTGACGTTCTCCAACTACGGCAGGTTCGTGTCGTGCCGACCCCAGCGTTGGGTTTTGACACCGCAGGGATCGTTCAACCTTGAACGATCGGCCGTCTCCGAAACGTTGGATCGTTCAACATCGATCGATTCTGGGTCGCCGGCGGCGTTCAACCTTGAACGCCCGCGCTGGGGTCGCCGCTGGTCGACACGACGCAAACCTACAGGCATCTAGAAAGTTCAGAAAATGGTGAGAAAATCGTCCCCAGACTATTGTGAAACCATTCTGGAATACTTCTTCCTAACACGCCCGCCGGAACCCTGACGTTCTCCAACTACGGCAGGTTCGTGTCGTGCCGACCCCAGCGTTGGGTTTTGACACCGCAGGGATCGTTCAACCTTGAACGATCGGCCGTCTCCGAAACGTTGGATCGTTCAACATCGATCGATTCTGGGTCGCCGGCGGCGTTCAACCTTGAACGCCCGCGCTGGGGTCGCCGCTGGTCGACACGACGCAAACCTACAGGCATCTAGAAAGTTCAGAAAATGGTGAGAAAATCGTCCCCAGACTATTGTGAAACCATTCTGGAATACTTCTTCCTAACACGCCCGCCGGAACCCTGACGTTCTCCAACTACGGCAGGTTCGTGTCGTGCCGACCCCAGCGTTGGGTTTTGACACCGCAGGGATCGTTCAACCTTGAACGATCGGCCGTCTCCGAAACGTTGGATCGTTCAACATCGATCGATTCTGGGTCGCCGGCGGCGTTCCACCTTGAACGCCCGCGCTGGGGTCGCCGCTGGTCGACACGACGCAAACCTACAGGCATCTAGAAAGTTCAGAAAATGGTGAGAAAATCGTCCCCAGACTATTGTGAAACCATTCTGGAATACTTCTTCCTAACACGCCCGCCGGAACCCTGACGTTCTCCAACTACGGCAGGTTCGTGTCGTGCCGACCCCAGCGTTGGGTTTTGACACCGCAGGGATCGTTCAACCTTGAACGATCGGCCGTCTCCGAAACGTTGGATCGTTCAACATCGATCGATTCTGGGTCGCCGGCGGCGTTCAACCTTGAACGCCCGCGCTGGGGTCGCCGCTGGTCGACACGACGCAAACCTACAGGCATCTAGAAAGTTCAGAAAATGGTGAGAAAATCGTCCCCAGACTATTGTGAAACCATTCTGGAATACTTCTTCCTAACACGCCCGCCGGAACCCTGACGTTCTCCAACTACGGCAGGTTCGTGTCGTGCCGACCCCAGCGTTGGGTTTTGACACCGCAGGGATCGTTCAACCTTGAACGATCGGCCGTCTCCGAAACGTTGGATCGTTCAACATCGATCGATTCTGGGTCGCCGGCGGCGTTCAACCTTGAACGCCCGCGCTGGGGTCGCCGCTGGTCGACACGACGCAAACCTACAGGCATCTAGAAAGTTCAGAAAATGGTGAGAAAATCGTCCCCAGACTATTGTGAAACCATTCTGGAATACTTCTTCCTAACACGCCCGCCGGAACCCTGACGTTCTCCAACTACGGCAGGTTCGTGTCGTGCCGACCCCAGCGTTGGGTTTTGACACCGCAGGGATCGTTCAACCTTGAACGATCGGCCGTCTCCGAAACGTTGGATCGTTCAACATCGATCGATTCTGGGTCGCCGGCGGCGTTCCACCTTGAACGCCCGCGCTGGGGTCGCCGCTGGTCGACACGACGCAAACCTACAGGCATCTAGAAAGTTCAGAAAATGGTGAGAAAATCGTCCCCAGACTATTGTGAAACCATTCTGGAATACTTCTTCCTAACACGCCCGCCTGAACCCTGACCTTCTCCAACGACTCGCTCCCCAGATTTTCGACCACCGGGGCCCGCGAACGGGCGCCCGAGCGGGACTCGGGGCGGCCGCCCGTGCCTCGATGGGGAAAAGCGGCTCGGGCCTCTGCCGGGTCCGCGCGGGCCAGCGTGCGCCACGGGGGGGGGGCGCGGCACCGCCCAGGGATGAGGCGCGCGGCCGCCACCACCCGACGATGCTGGAGGCGTTCCTCGTGGTGCATTCTATGTTGCGCAGTTAGTTTTTACAGACGCAGAGACACATTCCATGCTCTTGCAAGCATCCCACCCACCCGCCCGCAACCTGGTCTGCAAAAGCCCATGCGGCGGCGATTGCGACGAGTGCTTGGCGTTGGCTGGTGCGTCTCTGCGGCCGCGCTAGCCCGCGCATGCTCGCACGCACAGCGGTCAGCTAGTTTGGCGCGGCCGACGCGACCGCGGTGGCGCTGACCGCTGGGCACTTCCCAGCGGGCACTTCAGCGCGAGTCGGTGACTTGGGTGGGCGCGGTACCATGGCGACGCCGGCAACGGTAGACACGATTCTGAGAGTAGCGATGGTGACGAGGGTGGCGATAACGACGGCAAGGCCAATGACGGCGCCGATGTTGATCACGCCCGCCGATAACGATGATGATGTCCTCGCGTCGACGAGGAAGGTTTTTGAAGGACTTCGACATGCGCGCGCGGCCGACGCACGCGGATGGCCCGCGTGTTACTATTTGACGCGGATCGTGCCGGCCCCCAGCACGCGCGCAAGGGCGTTCGAACGAGTTCGACATGCGGCGCGAGTCCCGTTTGGCATAATGAAATGGAAATGTTTGAAAACCTACTGTTTTTCTCAAGAACCCGCAAGAGCGCGAGCGCATTTTTGCTTTGAAATCTGATGTTGCAAAACAGTGTGTGTGTGTGTGTGTTTATAAGTTCTCGGGGCACTCGATTTCGACGTCCTTGCGAAACCAAGTTTTGAAGGATTTCTGCATGCGCGCGCGAGAACGCACGCGTGTACACTTCGTCCTTTTTCTCAAATTATGCTTGAATACATGTGATTTCGGGCAAAGGAGAATGCGCGCATAGTATGTTTTGCAAAATGCGGCGGGGGGGGGGGGTCGATACCTGCTGGGCTAGGGTGGTGTGCAGGCATGTGTAGAACGGATAAAAGGTCAACATCATGTGCAAATTACATATCGCGAGGGACGACCGCTATCTCCAGCCTCGGGAGAGGGGTAGAACATTTAAAAACAAAAAACAAAAAATATACTTTGAGCCAATTGCGTTGTGCATTGTATGTTGTGCCATCTATGTGGAGGCCCAGGCAGCGGGCGGCGACGAAGCGGTGAAGGGGCGGCGACGGCGGCAACGTGGCCGCCTGACCGCCACTCAGGCCCAGTCCCTTGAAACAGAGGTAGGACCCCTCAAGTGCAAGCACTATTTGGGGAAAGTGGATCGGGGACATACAACCAGCGGCGCTGGAGGCTGGACAAGCAGCGGAAGGCCGCGGAGTGGCGCGCCTGGGCCCAGGCCGCGGCCACCGAGAAGGGCGGCTCGGCGGCCTACCGCTTCATCAAGCAGGTCGCGGCGGGAAGTGGGTCGGGACCTGTGGACCGCGGGCAAAATAAAACATCATCCGCGGGTGGGTGTGGGCATGCCGCCGGTCTTCCGCATCATGGCGCGAGAGGCGGCCACGCATCGGGAAGGTGCCTGGCTGTGTAGCCGCAACCAGCTGCGTGCACCAGTTTTCGTAACCCTCTTGTCCCGCACCACCCCGTGGCCGCATTGCGGCTCCCCTCTTCCCAAGCTGGGACTTGTGACTGCCCCAGGCCTCTGCAGTGGAATCCCCCGCGTGCAACTCTTCGGCTTCGAGCGCTCCTATCAAGAGCGGGGGCTGCGACTTCTTCTTGCTTATTCGTCCTCCACCATGGCCCTCCTCCTCAGCTTGATCCCCTTTTCCTCTTCAATATCCTCCTCCTCATCCTTCAGCCTCCTTCTCCTCCTGCGCCTCATCATCCTGCCCCATCTCGTGCTCCACCATCGCCGTCCTCCTCCTCCATTCATTTTCCGTTTAAATAACTTAGTTATCCCTGTCGCACCCCGAGGCAAATTTTCTAAGGCGGGCCGGGCGTTTCGCATGAGACTTCCTCACCGCTTATGGCCCTGAAGCTTTACACTTTGGCAGCAGTTCCAAAACTGGAGAGCGGGTCGTTTTCAAAATGCGGCTCTAGCCTCAACGTCGCGCGCACTCGCTTCGAACAATTGCAAGAGCTTCACGGGTCGAGCATCGTTTTCAACATGTGGCTCTCGCCGTAGCGCCGCGCACATTCGTTCCGAGGATTTGCAAGAGCGTGGCTCTCGCCCTAGCGCCGCGTACATTCGTTTTAAATATTTGCAAGAGTTTCACGGATTGAGGGCTGCTCTTCTTCAAAATGTGGCTCTCGTCTTAGCGCCGCGCACCTCCGTTTTAAGATTTACATGAGTTTCAAGGATTCACATGATCAGCGTACCAGACAGGATGCTTTAGAACGACAGGATTATGAGGGTGCAACAGTTACGTTGATTCGCGGTGTTGAAAGTCCCAGGATTCGCGCTCTGGCATGATTCAGTGTCGCAAAGACGCAACAGTCAGGTTGACTCGTGGCGTTGGAATCCCGAGAACAATTTTTCGGCATGCTTCAGGGTCTTCAAACAGATGTCTTCCAACGAGGCAGTTCCCTCAGTGGACATGAACCGTTGAGGGGCCTATGAAGAGGGAGCTTGGAGGGAGGGTATATTCCAAAATCGTTGATGCCTCTTGGGTTTACACTGGTTTTCCTCCTCCTCCTCCTCCTCCTCCTGACTCCTGTGTCTCCCTGCAAGGCAATCATCATAATTCTCGCCCCCTCCACGCACTCTCTGACCCAGCCTGTTCTCTTGCGCCACCCCCGGGCATCACCATGGTGACACGGGAGGGTCGCTGCGGCATCTGGGGTGAGCAGTGGCAGATACCTGATGGCAGCTACAGGTGCTCTGCTGCAGAGGGAAGCTAGAACAATACAAGCCTGTAAATCCCCAAATGATGCGACAATGCCAGGGCTGGAACAGCCATACCCTGAACAGTTCAGGTGCTGCTGTCAGGGCTGGACAAGCTCCAGTGACACTTAATTTTGCCAAAACAAAAGGGTGGAAAACTCGACCCGGGGTATGTTCACCAGCTTCCGTGCGTATTCACTAGGACCCTCGTGATTGCAAACCTGGCGATAGCATCCTGGTGATAGCATCCCCCTGGCGACAACATCCCTTTGGTGTCCGCATCCCCATGGTGATATCACCCCCTGTTGGTGGGAAGCAGCTGCCCCCCTGGTGAAAGCATCCCCCCACCATCCCGCACGCTAACCTACCCCAGGGTCCGAGAGCCAAGCCAGTCGCGAGACGACGCCCCCGAGTGCCGAACTTAACGTCATTGTGGTCTGGACATGTGACCGTCGTCGTCGTGTGACTTCCCTCCGCACACTCCTTTTGTCCTTCCTACGGTCAGGAAGAGCTGCTCAGCGCGTTGCGGCAGTGGCCCCTCGGACACGCGAATTACGCCTTGCGAGCTGATGGCGTGCCGCGCTGCCTCGTGGGACGGGAGGCCGGGACAAGCTCGGGGCGCCGATGCTTCGAGACTGAAGCGTGCTCGGGTGGGACTGGCGGTGCGACACGCTAAGCAGACCTTCCTGACGAGATTCTCCTCCTCCGCATCCCCCGCCCCTCACGTTGGAGCGAGGCCAGGAGAAGGCTAGCCAGGGCCCGATCGAGCCTCAGCGGGAGCCCCGCGGGACCGCCTGGGCCCTGATGCTCTCGCACACCCCACAGCCAGCAGCATGATGCAGAAAGAGCTGGCGGCGCGCGCAGAAGGTAGGTGGCGCGCGAGGGGGGGGGGGGGCAGCCTTCCCAGATGGGCCCCTGGAGGGCTCCTCGAAGGCAGCGGGCCTGCTTGGAAGGACCCGTGGGGCTCCCGAGAAGGCCTCCGAGGAGCCAGGAGGGCTTCTCTGAAGCCACCTGCCTTCTTCGGCGCCCCTCAGCACGCCTTCTCCGGAGGCCGGCCCCCTCGCGCCCACCCGCCCTTTATGTGCGCGCCGCAGGAGTCGGAGGGGGATAGACCTCCTACCCTGACACGTCGATTAGCGAATTGGCCGTTGTCGGTCCGCGAGAGGGCGTCGCGGCCGTCATTTTTGCGGGTCCAGGTCCGCAGGTCTCGGTCACAGGCCGTTTTCACTGAGGGGAGGTTTGCTGAAGGGAGGTTTGTCCACCGCCGAAGGAAGCGAGGGCAACCAACGAACGCGGGCCAGCCGCCCGGCCCAATCCCCCGGAGGCGCTGCGGCAGTCTTGCCCGACGGCCCCGAGCGCGCGCACGGAGAGGAGGGCCCTCGAAAATGACGATCCTGAGCGCTGATCGACACCGTGGCAGAACGCCCAGGCGGAGGAGGACGAGGAGGAGGGGCCGAGGGCTGCTGGGCGCCTGCGACGCAATCGCCTCCTGACGTCGGGGGCCTGGGCCTCGGCATCAGATTGGGCTCTGCACCACGAGACAGCCTGCGCTGGAGGGAGCCAGGCATGAACGAACGTCAGGAGGAGCGCATCATCAAGACACAGAGAAACCGATGAAGACACTTCCAAGGAGGACATCCGCAGGGGCGGCGGGCCGACGCATCGCGCACAGTCCCGCTGGGGTCGCCACGCCCACCAGGCTCGAATCTGCCAGATCAGCTGAGGCCAGCACCGCGCAGGCATTTCTAGTACGGAGCGGGATTGTGGATATGATGCATTTCGTCCTTCAGTCAAGCCGTGCATCTCCTCTTTCTGCACATCTGGTTTTCACGCGTGTGGAAAGCCTGGATGAAGCTCGAGCAAGCACGCTCGGTTGGACAGGGGAGCGCGAGAGTGGGAGAAAGCTTATTCGCTCTCCTCCTCCCCCTGCTGTTGCTAGGCCACCAGCCTTCAGTAGACCAGCAGACACATGCACTGAGACATCTTCTTTTCAGAAATCTGGGGGCGCGCTTGTCGTCAACTGGGAGTTTCCTGAGGTGGCCCAAGGCCTCCGTGGGACCAGAGGGCAATCGGGGGATGAGACACTCCCGTGGGGCAGCTGCTGACAGTCGGGTTTCTCGTTTGACGCGCCTCCTGTAGCCCCTACTTCCCGCTCAACCTCACCCTCCTCCATCTCCTCCATCGCCTTCTCCTCATCCTCCTCCTCCTCCTCCATCTCCTCCTCACGCTTCTCCATCTCGTCCATCGCCTCCTCCTCCTCCTCCTCCTCCTCCTCCTCCTCCTCCTCCTCCGCGCCTCGCCCCTCCTGATCCGACCTTGACCCTGCCTCCTTGTCCGCCTGCGCCCCTGGCGCGACCAGGAGCGCGAGCGCCATTCCGCGGAGGTTCCGGAACGCTAGTAAAACGACGGCGGCGCTCCCGGGAAGTGCCCCGCGTGGCCCGCCTTGGAAGGGGCCACGAGGGGCGCAGGAAGACGGCGCCAGGACGAGGATAGGATCTATCGGGCGAGGGCACGTCGAGAATCTCTGAGGCCTGGCGGCTCTGGAGGACGTGTCGGGCACCGCGGCCTTCGCAGAGCGTTCCGAATCGCTCCGAGGGCGCTCCAGAACGCTCCGCACAAAATTACTTCTGCTCGTCCCAGCCCCGGCCGACGAATGTCAGGGTGAGGGTGCCGAACGGTCATTCATTGTTCCTGAGTGCGTGATTATTTGAAGTTTGTTCTCTTGTGTTGTTGGTGAACCCTCATTTCTGAAGAATCATTACTGTTGATTCCCCGTGCTCGGTACACCTTGTCATTTCAATCAAACTGCTCCTCCAGGGGCTCCCACCCTGTTTGGGTAAAAAATATTTCGCCTCAGACTGGGCTATTGGCACCCGAATGACAACAACAAAAAACAACAACCACAACAACAGCAGCAGCAACAACAAAAACAACAAAGCAGCAGCAGCAGCAGCAACAACAACAACTTTAAGACTGGTCGCTCGTATCTGGTCGCGTGCCACTCAACACGAATATCTCGAACCCTCGATACCCGCCCTGTACGTCTTCGACCGTAACCCCTTAGGAGTATATCTTTCTGACCTGCAGCGTGTATTACATGCAGCCGCTGGGGCACGGGAAGAGATAACGGACGGAAGGAAGGGACAAGGGGCAGGCGCGTTGCTGAAGCGTGCGTCCTGCATGAATCGCGAGGAGAGCTCGAGCGATAGCGCGATTCCCAGGTAAATCGTGAGGAAAACCACAGCGAGAGCGTGAATCCTGAGTGTCAAGGGCGCGGCGTCTGAATAAATTGCGAGGACCTCCCACGCGAGAGCGCGATTCTTGCACAAGTTGTGAGGAGGTCCCGCGCGAGAGTGCGATTCTGGAGTAGTTTGTGAGCGAGGATCGGGCGGAAGTTATTGTTGTAACTCGGGGGCCGGGGGCCCAGTTTGGTGGCAACTCACGCCCCCTGGGGAAAACAAAAAAAAAAAAAAAAATGTGGGAGCCCCAAGAGAAACACATTAATTGAAACATAAAATGGTTACCGCGCAGGGGGGATCAACAACGACTCCCGCTTGATACCTTCATAGGGTTCACTTGAAATCGCGTTCTCGAGCGGGACTCCTTTACAAGACATCCTGGAATCGCGCTCTCGCGTACGTAGCACATCCTCGCAATGTGTTGACACCCCGCGCCGCCAACACTCAGGACCCACGCTTTCGCTTTAGAGCTCCCCCCGCGACTTTCTTGCGAATCGCGCTATCACCCGAGACTTCTGCGCGAAAAAGGCACGACTGACGCTTCAGCGACCTGGCCGCTCGACCTGGCCTTGTGGGTCCGCCCCACCGACCCTTCCCTCCCGACCCGCCCGTCTGGTTTCGCCGCATGTTGTTATGATCCTTACCACCCTTTCTGCTAATCTCTGCCGTGATCAATCCTTCTCTCTGCCCCTTGTCCCTTCCATCCTCCTCTCCCCCTGTGGTAGGAGCTGCTCCAAGTACACGCGGCAGGTGAGGAAGATATACCCCCAAGGGGGCATGGTCGAAGACGAAAAGGGCGGGTGTCGAGGGTGCACGGCGAGTGACACGCGAGCAGATAAGAACGAACAGTATTAACATGATAACTGTTGAATTCTCCATTCTACAAAATAATGATGGTTGGATCCCCCCTCCGGTGCACCTTGCATTTTTCAAATAAAATGTTCCTCCCTGGGTTCGCACACGGTTTCTTATAGAGGAAAGACTTCCTCCTCAAACTGGGCCCCTTGCCCGCCGTTTACTACAACAGCGGCTCCCGCCTGATACTTCCCCACGAGTTACTTCAACAACGCGCTCACGCGCGGGAGATCTTCACAAAGTTTACAGGAAACGCGCTCTCGCGTGGGATGTTATCGCAGTGTATTCTGGCGCAACGCATTCGACGCTCAGGCATCGCAGTGTCGCCCTGGCCTTTGACAATTCAATTGGGAGTCGCGTTATCGCTCGAGGCCTCTTCGCGGCCCGTGCATGACGCACGCTTCTGCAACCGCCTGCTCGACCTGGCCGCCTGGGCCTCCCTTCACGACCCGCCCGCTAGGGTCTACCCGCCGATCAGCCCGTCTGGTTCTGCCACATGCTTTCTGCTCCTACCCCCTCGCTTGTTAGTCTCTTTCGCGGCCCATCCTTCCCGTTATCCCTCCCGTCCGTCCTCTCTTCCTCTGTTTTAGAGGCTGCACCAATCACACGTGGCAGGCAAGGAAGATATACCCCCAAGGGGGTACGATCGAAGACGAAGAGGACGGGTACCGAGAGTTTGGGCATACGTGGCGAAAGTCAAGCGAGCAGGTAAGAACGAACAATCCCTGAATGATTGTTGTTGTCATTGTTGTTGTTATCGAGCCCTGACTTGTGAAGAACAATTACTATTGATCCCCCCTGCT